TACAGACGGGAGAACATAATTGTTTAATCATTTTAAACGCCACCAGGTGCAAATTTACAAACTGTCTGCCACGGTGCCATGCTGTGTGAGTTGTCATCATCATCATCATCATCATCATCAACAACCATGGGCTCAACGCCCGTTGGTATCTGAGGCCTCCCTCACTATTTCCTTCCATCTTTCCCTGTCCAATGCGGAGTGCCTTAGTTACTGTAGACTAGCTCTGCATCAATCTATTATATCTTCTACCCATTCTCTGTAGAGTCTGCCTCTCCTATTTGGACCATCCATTATGCCGAATACCAAGGTCTTAACTTTTCGCTTGTCGTTCATTCTGCAGATATGCCTGAATAACTATAATTTCCATTGTATAACCTTCTGCAGTAGGTTCTCTTTCGGCTGTATCTTCCTATATAATTCCTTGTTGGTGACCTTCTGCCTCCATCCTATTCTCAGGAACTTTCTATAACAATTCCACTCAAATGCCATTATCCTTCTCTTCGTTATCACCCATGTCTCACATCCATACAACATGCTGCTAAATACACACGTTTTCAAGATGCTTACATGCCTTTAAATCCCAACCGTGACTGCTGCTGAAAACTGGCCACGCTATGTATGGCTTGCTATAAAGAGCTCTTGGGCACCATGGGCGATATTTGCATAGGAATGAAAAGCAAACAAAGCATCAGCATCTGGAAGAGAACTTCAATAGGGTCAATAGAAGAGTAGCGGATGCCTGAAGGAAAATAAGAACAGATGGGCTAGATAGAGAAGTCAGAAAAAGACCTGGAGTGATGTGCCCCATATGAATTCTAGTTCCTGCACTAATTCCCAGCTTCAGTTTCACTGCCTTCCTCCCTACAGTTGACTCATCTTTCTCTATAAAAGAGCAGTTCAGTCATGAGATAAATAGACAGGAGATCACTCAGTCAGCTGGTTTCCTGTCGGCCTCCCAGATGAAGTGTAACTTCAGGAGGAATTTAAGGCTCTGATCCAAAGCCCATTGATATCATTAAAAGGAACCCTATTGAGTTCACAGTGCTTGTGTCAGGTCCCATGCACAATGGAAGTGGCTTTGCAGACCAGCTCCAGAAGGGAGTTCCATGTGAAAGGGAAGATGTGGAAGAAAGCACTAAGACTTTCTTTTGTAGAATCGGGGAATCGTAGACCACTAGAACTGGAAGGGACCCCAAGAGGTCATTGAGTCCAGTCCTCTGCCCTCACAGCAGGACCAAGAAAAGGATCAGCAAGCTTAGCCTCAGTGGTGGTGGGGAGGGGATGGGTGGGAAATGTAATACGAGATGAGCCTGGATAAAGGGGTGAGGTTAAGGACGGCTCTGGAGGGGAATAGGCAGCTGATGGAGAGATTCCAAGAGGGGGTGGCACAGATCAGAGATTCTCTTTCCTTTTGTAGAATGTTCATTCTCTGAAACATTGATGTGTTCTTTCCATCTTCTAACTGTCTGATGTTCTCCCATCCCACCATCTGCTTCCAGTATCAGATAACATCCTATTTTATTGTAGTGTCATTTTCAGGTAACACTAACAACGCAGAAGCAGCAGACACATGTATGATGTCTCCTTTTCTCAGTGTTGAGTTATTTAGAGACATGTACTACCTCTGCTAATGTACTTCAGTCTGAGACATATGCAGTAGAATAGGTAGCAGTACATAAGAATGGCCAGACTGGGTCAGACGAAAGGCCCATCTAGCCCAGGATCCTGTCTGCTGACAGTGGCCAATACCAGATGCCCCAGAGGGAGGGATCACAACAGGGAATCCTCACATGATTGCTCCTCTGTCACCCACTTCCAGAGAAACAGAGGCTACGGACACCATTCCTACCTATCCTGGCTGATAGCTATCAGTACTAGCACAGGTTGAACCTCTCTAGTCTGGCACCCTCGGGACTTGACTGGTTCCGAACCAGAAAATGTTCCTGATCATGGGAGGTCAATATTGTCTAGCAGCATTACCAACACTTTCTACTACTCACTGGGCTGTTAGAGGACATTTGGGGGTAAAATAGAGCTAAACAACTCCACCAATCACTGAGAGCCAAGACTAGTAGCTGTGAATAAACTTTATGGGACCATAGGAAACTTGGCCACACCCACAAAAAGTGGGCATCCTAAAGTTATGCCGGACCATGGATGTTTCTGGACCAGAGAGTTCTGGACGAGAGAGGTATCAGCAGCACAAAAACTCATGTAACGTTGGGGTAGAGAAAAATTTTCAATGATGTGTTAATGAAGGTCTCCATATAGCAAAAGAGCTAGCTGGACTATTCCATACAGCTATTGATTAGATTGAGGGAAAACAAAGCAGTAATTTTCGTATTGATCCCTGGGCAAGCAGCTTGGTTTTTCTTCTGTGTTGTCTTATCGTTAATAAATTGCCTTGAATAAGAAAAGCCGGTAAAAGGAATTTAGCTTCCCGGTACTGCACACAGAAATCAAAGCAGAGTTGAATGAGGAAAGATAATTAGATGGAGGGTTTCCACCTCCACACACCGCTTCCTTAGCTCAGGATGTACTGAATTTATCTAATTTGCCAGAGCCGCTAGTAATACGAGTTGACGAGGATTACAGGCAGCAGACATTCTGACAAAGCAAGGGAAGCTTTAATTAGTCCATTTTAGGGTGGAACTGAAGTTCCTAGACAAACATGATTTGATCCAAGCCATCTGGAGTCCCTTCGAGGTGAACAGAAAAGCTTTTGACCTGCCATGACCACGGTTCAGGCTCGTTTGTCTTGTGCAAAGGAGTGAGTGATATCACCATGCCCTGAACATTTCATTGGCTTGCTGCTCTCGTTTCACGTGGAGGAATTCCAGTGAAGTCAATGGTGTTCTTGCACCTTTCCCCTCATGTAAAGGAAGATGTTTGCTCCAGGACCCACCCCTGTTAGTTTAGGTGCTAGTGAGATCAGCTGTTTTGGAAGAGGCCTGATTTGAGTGTCTGACAGGTGCTCGATTAAAAGGATTTTCTAGTGATAGTGTTGTCACATGCACTTACATGCCATTTTTATTTCTCTTTCTATCCCTTGGCCCTACTCCTTCTCTCCTATCTATCCCAGGGCATAGCTGGATGGAGTGTAGCACCTGACATGCTAGGATGTAACAATGGCACATGGGACAACAGACTTCTACCACAACTGAAAGTTCCCTAATGTGCTCTGATCTATTGCAAACAGGAGTAGATCAAAGTGAACTGTGTGTTTCTGAGGGTGCAGCATAGACACTTGGCATGCAGCAGGCTAGATTGCATCGATTTTACACTCTGGCCAGCCCTACACTAAATCTCCATATAGTCAAGCCCTTAGTTGCTTTCCTTTTCTCTGAGGCCATGTCTACACTACGTGGGAGATTGACACTGCTCCGGTCAATCTTCCGGAGTTTGATTTAGTGGGTCTAGTGAAGACCCACTAAATCAAACTCAGAGGGTGCCCCTGTCAGTGCTGGTACTCTTGCTCCTCACAAGGAGTAAGGGAAGCCGCTGGGAGTGTTTGCTTCCCTCGACCTCCCGCTATATGGATGGTGATTTAAGATACATCGACTCCAGCTACATAATTAATGTCACTGGAGTTGTGTATCTTCAGTTGACATTCCCCTTTTGTGTAGACATATGTGTGTATGTTCGTTTCACACTCACATACACTCTTCCACATTTAAGGCCCTGAAACAGTGGCTTTTGTATTTTTTGAAAAGGTTTCTTTGGCTTCCCATTACAAGAGAAGACAAGTAAGAAAATTAAATTATTATTTATATGGGGGTAGTGCTTTGGGAGCCAATCTTGTGCTAGGCAATGTGCAAACACAACATAAAAATAGACTCCCTGCCCCACAAGAAAAGCAATGGAAGCCCTTCTTGATTCTGAAAAGCCCTGCTAATATGAGGCTGCAACACTATTCCGGTTCCAGCTTCCAGCTGGCTGATCTGGCTACAATATATGCAGGGCTAAGGTTGGTTTGCAACTGTGAGTTTGCACATGACATGAATGTACATTTGAACATCATGGAGTCCCTCTGGACCTTCCTGAGAGACGCCATGGGGCTGAGGTTTACTAGCACCCTGCTCTTATTAGGGATGTGAATGGTTAACTGGTTAACCAGTATCTGGTAAGCATTATCCTTACTGGGTGGTGCTTACTGGTTACGGTTAACCGGCGGGGGCTGGAGCAGGGGGCAGGCATGGTGCTGCTCCAGCCCTGTGGTGCCCACCACAGGTGGGGGCACTCCAGCTTGGCTGGCGCAGTCCTCATCCATGATGGGTCCGGCCTGGATGAGCTGGGAGGAGCCCCCATCCACAGCAGGCCCGACCCAGGGCGCTGCAGACAAGGGCAATCCAGCACAGCTGGATCACCCCCATCCGTGATGGGTCTGACCCAGGTGCAATGAGAGCAGCCCCCATCCGCGATGCGCCTGGGTCAGTCCCACCACAGATGGCAGCTGCTCCAGCCGGTCTGGTGTCTGGCAATGGCCTCCCTGCTCACCACCATTTAATCGGTTAATTATTTTAACATAATGTTTAACTAGTACCTAATGCAATGGGATTTTACATCCCCAGTCCTTATAAATCTTTACACCAGACTTGCTCACAAGACAACCACCAGTAAACAAAGCATGATCTGTGTGTCATGCACTTACGTGCCTTCAAACTCAAGCCAAACTGCTGACTTCTTTTAACCCCCCCGGCCTGTTCTGGGTCCTGTAATAACACAGAGGTAAGTGTGACAACAGACAAAGGCCCATTTTTGCATGGTCCTTAAAAAACATGGTCCTTAAAAAAAAAATAGAATTCTGAGCGTTCTCTATAGTACTTTGAAATCTATTTCAGCCTTTGCGTTGTTGTCCGACAGGCTGATCCGTGTTGCACGTGATGACCAAAAGCAGTGAAGTCGTATGAAACGCCACTGTTATGTCTTATGGCAATCTATAAATGTTATAAACGTTTCCGCTGCCGGAGGAAAGGGGCTAATTTGAGATTTGTTCCTAGCCCTCGCCATGCGAATGGTGTCGCTGTGAGCCGAGCAATGAAGTGCACTGTGTTGTAGCAGACTGCGCCGTTCCCGAATGTGTCAACCCAGTCTATGAGCCAGAACAGTGTTGTCCTGTCTGCAAAAATGGTAAGAACGCGCTGTATTAGCTTTAAAGGAGAGATGCCATTGAAATAATGTCAAGGTGTTTTTATTACCTGCCCATCGCCCAAGGAACGACCTTGATTGGCACAGGTCAATGTGTGTTCCTCTCTCTTTGTGTGTGCTTTAGTGCTCAAGTCCATCAATGCAAGTCAAGGGCACTGTTGCTCACATAAGTCACCCCACTGAAGTCAATGGGGCCCCCTCCCCAGCAAAAGTTGTAGGATGTGTTGTAGGACGTGCCGTAAAGCGACATTCACTCAAAACATGAATGTCACCTCTCCAAGGGCTCCTTCCTGCTCACCTTGCTCCCACACTTAGTCTCACTGGAAGGCAGGTGGACTGTTTGCATGAGTAAGGGAGGGGCACCATTTGGGTCTAGACTGAGATACAGGGCGAGTCAACATTTATGTAAGCTCAATAGCATGGGCAGAGGGTAATGAAGGCAAGGGAAGGCATTGCCTTCCCAAAATTGCTTACGCTGCCCAGCCACATGGGAGAGGCTAGGGCCTTGCAGCAACCCGGCTTCCTGGTGACAGCTCTGGCCCTCAGCTGGGGTTGGGCAGGGCTTGATTGCGAGGGGCGGAGAAGTTGTGAAGAAGCATGGCCTTAGGGAAGGGGTGTGGCTTTGGGCAGAAGGGGCAGGGCTTCATCTGCCACCCATGGTCAATCGGCTGCTCTTGCTCTCATTGGAGTCAGTAGCAAAACTCCCGTTGGTTTTGGTGAAAGCAGGGTGGGGCCCACACTGATTTAAGCAACTATTTTCCTTGGGCAGTGTTTGTAGAGTGAGCATTTATTTTCCATTGTTCCGTAATGTCACTATGCAGAAACCAAACACAAAGTGGGGAGCCTGTGTCAGAATACAAAGCATCTTTCACCCCTGTGGGAACATGACTATCATAACGTGGTTCAGTGAAGAATGCCTTGGGCCTTTTTGGGGTGTCAGCCAATCAGATCCACCTTTGTAAATATATGTGTGCACTGGGTAATGGAAGGGAATGGAGCCTTCACCCTAGGCAAAGTGTAGTTGAGATCCTTTCCATGCTCTCCATTTGTTTCTTCTAGTATTCACCTAAGTAAATTTACCTAAGTAAATACAGTGGCACTCAGTATCCTCCACTCCTCTCACACGCAACCCTTGAGACATTCTCTTTAGTCATACGTGGAGTAAATTCAGAGTCTAAGTAGGCATAACTTACACCGTCTTCCAGCCCACTTCACAGGTGCGTTACACCAGCTTCTACTCAGTACAATTAGAGGTTTAGGAATACCCTTTGCTCTCTTCTGCATAACCCCAGTCTTCTAATCAATAGAAGTGCGCTTGTCACTGTGCGCTTGTTATTTCCAAATCTATTTTGAAATAACGGGCGTGCTCAAAAGACGCGGAATAGCTATTTTGGGATCCTTCCGGTATCCTGAAATAGCACCACAGTGTAGATGTAGCCTAAGAGAAGGATGTAGTAGAAAACACAGCTACATGGAAAATGTAACTTTACTCTTCTGAGTTCTCTGTGTGTGTGTTTGTGAGTGTTATTTAGGATCCCGTATGTCCAGGGAGATTCACACACGCTGTCAGTATGAAGTTTGCATCACTGAGTACATCGCTGCTCTATTTGGCCTTTTGAGTCCTCCTCGCACATACTGTCCAGTGGTTAATCCTTTTGCTCCAGTACGCTCTGACGAGATTTTGTACTTCGTGTTCACTCTGTGAGGTTAGCTTCCAGGTTCAAGCTTCCCGAAAATGAACACTGAAGTGATCTTCAGACAAGCCCAATGAAAGAAATCAGTCTCAGAATGAGGCCACTCAGTTTCCCCACCCAACCTCTCCCCAGAACTGCTCTGCCCTCTCCCTCCACCACCCATGAGGTCCACGTTTGTCTCTGTGCCTTAGAAGCCGTGAGACCTTCAGTGTCTTGCTCCTCTTCTGCCCTCAGAATGCAGGCTGCCAGCTCATCATCCTTCCCCTGAAGAGGGATCTTCAAAACCAAGTTAAAAGAGCCAGAAATAGTGAGCTGGGGAGGGGCAAAGGATCATCTAGCCCAGTGTCTTGTCTGCCAACAGTGGCCAATGCCAGGTGCCCCAGAGAGAGGGAAAACAACAGGTAATCAACACATGATCCCTCTCCTGTCATCCATTTCCAGACAAACAGGCTAGGCACACCATTCCTACCCATCCTGGCTAATAGCCATTGATGGACTTAACCTCCATGAATCTATCTAGTTCTTTTTTGAACCCAGTTAAAGTCCTAATCTTCACCAAATCCTCTGTCAAGGAGTTCCACAAGTTCACAGTGCACTGAATGAAGAAAAATTCCCTTCTGTGTGTTAAACCTGTTGGCTATTAATTTCATTTGGTGGCCATTAGTTCTTATATTGTGGGAATATGTTAATAACTTTCCCTTATTCACTTTTTTCCACACCGGTCATGATTTTATAGACCTCTATCATATCCCCTTCCCCCCTTAGTCTCTTCGGGTATGTCTACACTACCCCCCTAGTTCGAACTAGGGGGGTAGTGTAGACATACCCAGCTTTTCTAAGCTGAAAAGTCCCAGTCTTTTTAACCACTCTTCATATGGGACCCATTCCAAACCCATAATCAATTTTGTTGCTCTTTTCTGAACCTTTTCCAATGCTAATATATCTTTTTTGGGGATGAGGCAGCCACATCTGTACTTGGTATTCAAGATGTGGGTGTAAACCATGGTTATATATAGAGGCTATAAGAGGTTCTCTGTTTTATTCTCTATCCCTTTTTTAATGATTCCTAACATTCTGTTTGGTTTTTTGATTGCCGCTGCACACTGAGTGGCATCTCTGCCACAGGTCTCTTGGGTGACCTGGGTCAAGTCACTTCATCTCCCTCTGCAGCAGCTTCCCCCTGTGTGGAATGGGAATAATGATTTTGACCTCCTTTGTAAAACATGCTGAGATCTACTGCTGAAAAAGGATTTATCAGAGCTAGGAATTATTTTATTCACCCCAAGCCTTTTAAGACCAAGAGCCCAAGTCTGTTGAGGATGTTGGATTTCGAGGCAAGGGAAGATTGTGGGGAAGGAGTACGGGGAATCAAGGCTCCCCCGTTCTCTAGCTGTCCATATTATGATAGGAAACATGATGAGCAGACTCAGTCATTCCTCTTTGGCATGCGTTTTTCTACTGGGCATCTCAATAGTTAACCTCCCTTCCTGAGCGTCTGTATCCTGGGAACCAGTGACTCTGGAAAGTTTTGAGGTTGGGGTGGATAATCAGCTGACCCTGCAATGCTGTGGCCGAAAGGACCAATGTGATTCTTGACTGCATAAATGGGGGGGAGGTTCAAGGAACAGAACTTATTTTACCTCCACATTGGCCACCCTCTGCTGTAATCCTGTGTCCGGTTCTGAGGCCCATAATTCAAGAAGCATGTTGATAAACGGGGGAGGCTTTGGAGATGAGCCTTGAGAATGATCAAAGGGTTAGCAATCATGCCTTATAGTGACTGACTCAAGGAGCTCAATCTATTTAACTTCACCGAATGGCTCAGGGGTGACTTTCCAGGGGGACGAACATTGAAGAGTGCGTTCTTCTGTCTGGCAGAGAAAAGTCTACCATGATCCAGGCTGGGAGCTGGAACAAGATAAATTCAGGCTGGAAATAAGATGTATGTTTTACCCATGAGAGTAATTAACCATGGGAACAGTTTACCAAAGGGTCAAGGTGGAGTCTCCATCGCTGGCTACGTTCAAAGGAAGACTGGATGTCTTTTGAGAAGATCTGCTCTAGGAATTATTGTGGGGAAGTTCTACAGCCTACGTTAGATGATCACTATGGGTATGTCTACTCTACAGAGAAGATCGAAGCTGCTTCTGTCAATCTTCCAGGGTTTGAATGAGCAGGTCAAGTGAAGACACGCTAATTCGAACTGAGAGGGACGCTCCGGTTGATGCTGTTAGTCCTGCTTCCATGAGGAGTAAGAGAAGTCAAAGGGAGAGTGTTCTTCAACTTCCTGCAGTGTGGACAGCGCCAAAAGTTGAGTTAAGCTACTTCGACTTCAGCGACGCAATGAACATTGCTGAAGTTATGTAGCTTCATTCGACCTTATCGCATTGTGCAGATGTACCCTCTGGTCCCTTCTGTTCTTGAAATCTATGACTCTATGAAATCCTAAACAAGTGGAAAGGTATCTAGCATATCCTCCCACTCCCTCCCCACGAATCCCTTTGACATATGCTAAAATGAGGGTTTGCACCACTTTCAGGAAGAAACCCACTAGCCATGTTCAAACAAAGCATTTATTTCTGCGCTTTCCACTGCACCCACCCAATTAAAGATTCGCTTCCCACATGCGCTGATGGGTAATTCTGCTGGACAGCCTCACTTAATACACAATTTTTCCCCCCTGCCCTACAACTTTTGTTTCCTAGTCAAGAAAAAGATATTTCAGTGGAAAGATTTGTTGCGATCAAAAGCTTCAGCGAAGTCTTCCTGTTTCCCTGCATTTTGTCCTGCAAAGGCAAAGGAAGGCGATTTGGGGATGAGATTAGCCGCGGCATGCACATTCTCTTTTGCAAAGTTATTCCTTATGGATTTGCCAGGAAAGGCCATTTATTTGGGTCAAAATCGAGCCCTATGTCTTTTTCTGTGCTTCCTTTCTGCAAGCAGTGTAGCTTGCCTGTTTGCGTAACTGTTGTCGTCATTAACCAGAGAATAATTTCCTTTTGATACATTGAGAATGATTTTCATGCCTGTCTTAATTATGTGTTGCCAAGGGCAGACGCACTGTGCAGAAGTAAGGTTAATGCAGAAATGTGTTGACTCTATCACACCTGACCTGATGATTCATAAGCAGCCAATATCCATTCCTTTCCCCTGTATCCTAAACAAGCACTTTGGGAGATTTACTTCTAATTGTCAAAAGAAATAGAACCTTTATCCTGTGTTTTGAAAAATTCCTTGGCGGGACAGCAAAGCTTGTTTGTAGCAGGCAGCGTAATCGATTTGCACGTA